TTTAATAGAGGATATCCTGAATCTAAATGAGCTTAAGGTATTATGCCAAATGAATATGGTTCTTAGACTAAAATTTAGTTAGGATTTTTATTTTTCAGTCTTTTTTCCCCCTTCCCATAAGTATATATACAAACCATTTGCAATGTTTTCAATTATGAATTATCACAAAAATCTGATTCTCTCTTTATAGAAAGCCATGCTTTCTTTCACCTGAAATAATTATAGATAGGTTTAAAAGACTTTGTTTTAAAAGCCAGCCTCAGTGATCTGTGATTCTAGAACTGTTGCAGAAGGATAAGCCTAAGTCTGAAAATGACCAAAGCACATCCCCCTTACTTGAGGTCGTCATCCACATTACAAACTACTCCTGGTTTTCTCTCTTTTACTTTTAAATGAGGTGTTATGGTAGGATTTTGCTAGCAAAGGGGACAAAACCAAATAGATTCCCAGGGTTTTCCAAATCCCTCCGGGTTACTGAAAAGCACTTGGTTATTTGCATGCAGACATCCTCAGATCCCAAACCTGAAGGTGCTCTCCTCAGCATAACTGTTAGAAGTGAGGTGGAATGATTTTAAGTTTGAGACCAGCCTAAGCCAAATAGTGAGACCTTTTCTCAAAGGCAAAATAAAAACCAGTATGTGAAATCTTGATATACTAAACCTAAAACCATTTTATTTTCTGAGAAGCTGCCCATGATACATTGTTTTATCACCTAGTGTTAACTCTATTTGAATTATACCTTTAAGAGAGCATAAAAATTGTAACTAATGAATTTGCTACTTTCTATTACTGCTCTATTTTTCTCTGAGTCCGAGTCATCATTAAAGATATAAAACATGAGACAAACCTTAACAACAATTTTAAAATAAGAAAAAAAATCGATTTCACTCATAATGAAAATGTATTAAGTATGTTATTAATTTATGAAAACATTTTCCCCTCCTAATTTTATTTGCTCGTTAGAGCCATTTTGTTTGAAAAAGCACTTGTTTATATGAGATTAAAAAACAAGTTTTAGGAAGATATATGTTTGTGATTTAAAACCATAGACTTAATATGTGCATGATGTGGCCAGAATTTGAATTTAGGTCTTATAAAGATTATATACTATTGATGTTGGTCTCTCTTCTATCCCATTTTGCCTTCTCGCTACTATAAAAATGAAGAGCTGGTCCTTAACAGCAAGCTTGTCCAATCGTGTGTATGTAAGTGACTTCTTCACCTGAAGAAAGTGACATGAGGACATTCCCACTGCACCCGCGGAAGGAATTCTGCCTGACAACTGAGGTTTGATGCATGGTGAGCACTTAGCTGAGCGAAGACTGACATTATATGGTCATTCTGGCCTTAGAGATCTCAGCCAAAGAAACAAGGGCAATTCCCCAGTCACACCCCGCGGCCGAGAACCTGCACTGTCATAGTCCTGGGGCATTTCCCGATGGAGCCAATTACTTGGACAAAGCAGACAAAGAGGCGCATCCCTTGTGGAACTGGCTCTTGCGGTACACAACTTAATCTCCGAGGTATCGCAGACTATTGCTTTCCAGCGAAGACAAGATTCCCGAACCAAGTAGAGAGATGAGAAGAAGGAACGGGGTTGTTCCTACACGCTTGTGTATGGCACATGTCTTGATGCTCACCTCATTTGTACATCTCAGAAATCCTGGCTACCCCTGCTCCCATGGTTCTTCATTCAGTGGGTGCCTACTTCTTACACTGTTCCAAACACAATCTCTTCAGTGATTCTCTTGACTCCTTTGTGAATCTCAGCATAGCAAACCTTTGTATTTCCTTTGTTCTTTGTCTCAACGCATTAACTAAAGCACTTTCTGAGAGAAAAAGTCTGCATAGCTGTATCTAGTTCGTCGTTGGAAGTAAAAATTCTCTTAGGATAAAAAAGGGAGAGAATCAAGGTGACGAATTTGATACAAAATACAAATTAATATTTTGTGTTTTCTTCTCTTAATTAAATTGTGTCAAGCTGACACAGGCTAAAATAGAAGGCATGAGTATTGACATTTCCTTCCACGCTGTTCCTGTGTATTATTTACTTAATGCTGGTTGCTTCTGCCAATTTGCAAATATATTTCACAATGTGCCTTTATAAAAACTCATTATTAAGTTTTTAATATCTGAGCAGGCCTTCTCTCCTGAACCACACAGCACTTGATTCGAGGAGGAACGGACACTCCTGAGAAAAAGGCTGTGAGATTTGGACGTTTACATAAACTGGAATTTCAGATAAATAACAGATAATCTTTTAGTAGAAGTATGTCCAAATAATATATATTTATTTATGGGATATACATATTCTCTATGCAATGACATATGAAATTCTATACTAAAATTAAATACTATACTAGATTTACTTGTATTTTATTTTAAATTAAAATTTAACTTAAGTATTAAGTATTTCATATTTTATCTGGCTACCCTTCAGCAGACCAGTTGCAGCTGGACTATGCCAGAGAAAGCAGGGTGTTTGCGTTTTGTTCCATCTTTTGAGGGTCATCTATAGCTCAGGCTAACCTGGAATCATGAAGCTGAATGTGACTTTGAATTGTCTTCACCTCTGATTCTCTTGCCTCAGCCTCTCAAGTCCAACGCATCATATGTTTTGTTTTGTTTTGTTTTGAATTTGCAGAGCTCGCAGAGTTCAGTAGTCATCTTTTTCCTTTAGAGATGACATAGGAGGAGGCATTAGCTCAAATATGTGTATCCCCTCGGGGCTGCCCAACTCTGACACTTCAGTATCAGGGTGGATGTGAGAAGTGGCCTGCTTAATAGTGTTTCATAAATCATAGCTTGAAGCTACTCACGGCTTCTTTTGGAGGCCTGAATTCTAATGAATTGCTATTCTTTTGTGCTTCCTCCTTGGGGTGATATAAAACTCTAAATCTAATCAATAAGTTTCTAGGTCCATTTAAATACTGACATTTGAAAATTTCTGAGGGTTGCAATAAGCTTTGACCAGACATAGGACAAGGCAAGGCAAGGCAAGGCAAGAATGACTGCCAGTGAAGGCCAGAAAAAAAAAAAAATTCTCCAAAGCGTCAAATGGAAACAGAATTCCTTCACAGAGTATGACATGAATCAGCCCAGACTTGGGGGTCAAAGAGGGAGAGGGCTACAGCTGGGATACAAGTGCTGTATAGAGTTCAAATGGGTTACAGTAAAACAACAAAACCCAAACTCTGAATGCCAAACTAGACTTCTATTACCTTTTCAAAGTAACCTGTTTGTAAGAGGTTAAGGTCAGCCATTTTCCAGACAGTGGGATGAGCTCTTGGATGGAAGAAGCCAGCCATCTCACTTACCATGTATCCATCACAGCGACGCTGCCATCTACGGGCTTTGGTTTTTAAGAAGAGAATATTCACTTCCCACTCAACCCAAGTCTCCATTTTAAATAATAACAGAGTTTGGGCTCTGAAGACAGAGGACCTATAATTTTTTTAAACCATTTTTTCCTCAAAATTCTACAACAGTGTGATAGATTAAAGATGGCGGCAGATTCTTTGCTGGTCTTTATTTAAGGACCGAGGCCTACTAGTCCCCCCTTAGATATGGATGGGTGCGGTGTCTTTTTTGATCACTGGACTGGGCATGAATGACACACTAGGGCTCCCTGAACTAGCAACTAATTACCTCAGTTCCTAGCCCTTGTGCATCTCCGATTCAACTGGAATGATGCAGGGCCACACATACATATTCTTGTAGACTGTTTTAGTAAAGTCCAAGCTAGTCATCTCCTCAGGGGTGGACAGGCCAATGAAGTTATCTGACCTCCCTGCCCAGCCCAGCCCAGCCCAGCCCAGCCCAGCCCAGGTTCTGGCAGGACAGGACCAAGAGAACTCTGGTGATGCTTGAGGGAGCAGAAGCACAACCCAGTCAAATGCCCTCTGGCATTACCAGCCCTTGAAACCCTGATGTAATAAAACGGTTGTTCTTTTAGGCCACAAAGTTTTAGTTGGCGAAGAAGCTCATCAGAATGAAGAGCAATGCATTAAACATGGTGATGAAAAAGTGATGGAACGGGGTGGCCTGACTGGAGGGAGGGGCAAGAAGCTCTAAGTGACGATAGACGATAGATGTCACTGACAGGGATAACGGATGAGGCGGGGATGGTGAGGACCTGCAGAGTTCTAAGGAGCCAGAGCCACAGGGTCTCAGTAGGCTGCCGCCATTTTGCAGTGTTACAGCCCCCGCCCAGCTTCGCAGAGAGCCGGGAGAAGGCGGGGGAAAGCCTGCACTTGCACAGGTGCTGTGAACAGCGACGATAAACACCACAATTAAGAACGGGTGCAACCTGAAAGACTCTGCCTAGCAGTGTATCAAAGCAGATGCTGAGACCCATAACCAAGCCTTCGGCAGAGTGCAGGGAATCCTATGAAGGAAGGAGGAATTAGTATATCCTAGAGGGGACAGGGAGCCCCACAATGTCCAAATATATGTGGACACAGGGGTCTTCTCTGAGACTGTTTTTCCAACCAAGGATCATGCATGGATATAACCTACAACCCCTGCTCAGACATAGCCCATGGCAGCTCAGTATCCAAGTGGGTTCCCTAGTAAGGGGGACAGGAATTGTTTCTGACACGAACTCATAAGCTTCCCCTCCCCCCTGAGGGAGGAGCAGCCTTGCTAGGCCACAGATAAGGACATTGCAACCATCCTGAAGATACCTGATAAGCTAGGGCCAGACGGAAGGAGAGGAGGACGCCCCCCTCAGTGGGCTTGGAAGGGGGCAAGGAGGAGATGAGGGAGGGAGGGAAGGATTGGGAGGGAAAGAGGGAGAGGGCTACAGCTGGGATACAAGTGAATGAATACAATTATTTAAAAATAAAAAAAAATATTAAAAAAAAAAGACCGGGTGCAAAAAAATATGTGAGAGGCAGTCCCCCTACCCATTAGGCATCTCGTCAGATGATGTGAAGTTACAGGAGTCTCAGAGAAAAAGACTACAGAAAACATCAGCAGATTTTTTTTTTGTACTTTTATTGAAAAGGTACATTTAAAAAAATACACAGACATTTTACCATTTACAGATTGCAGATATAGGCCCTCTAAAAGAGTTCACTCTATGTTGTTTTATGATACCTCTTGCCCCTGATATCACAAACATTCCAGTCTTTTTAACATCAGTTTGTTTTTCTTGGGGGAGGGGGTGAAAGGGGGAGCATGGTCACGTGACCTGTGACACAGTCACTGAACAGAAAGACAGATTGTTCAATTATAAATTATATATCTTCTGTACATTATTGCATCAGGGAGCCACAGAGTTATGTAGCATTGTTACAAATGAAAAACGAAAGTTAAAATGAAGATCACTGTGCAGAAATACACAGATACATTGTCTTCTTGCAGATGCACAGAAGGTGCAAAAATGTGCAATTTAGGAAGCTCTTTTTGTTTTCGTATACATTTGCTTAGCAACTCAAACCAGTGAGGATGCTACAAAATAAGTTAAAACAAAACAAAAAAAAAAAAAAATAGCAAACAGGTAGTAATTATAGCTATGTTATATGGCTTTCTATTTTTTGTTTAAATATCTCCAAACAAGACATGAAATAAAGAAAATACTTCTTTTGTTCTCTTGGAGAGAGAGAGAGAGAAAATAAAACAACTTCAAAGCTATTTCGCTTCCTAACAGTTACACAGCAACAAAAAAGGACGAGAGTTCAATTCGACAAGAGTTACGATCTAGTACTACGCGGGATACAACAGCACTTGGGTCTAGAACAGTACACAATCCCCGTGAACACTAGTACACCAGAAAGAGGAACGCCGTGATCCGTGGGGGAAGATGGTGGCCACAGCTGAGCACTTGTGTTCTGCACTGGAAAGATGCCCGCTTGGATTCTGGAGTTATTTACAGACATCCGAGGACAAGCCTACTGTTCAAGCCTGCCCGGGGCGAGGCTCCGTTTCATTTCTAAGCCAGATCGTGCCCATGGGGATATGGGAATACACAGGTCGGTTTTCTTTTTCTGTCTGGTCAATACATTTTCAAGAAACTTAAGTATCTCAAGTACACCAATTAGCTGGGGGAGGATGGAGGGGGCCACCGAGAGGAGCCTGGCCTCCCTCTGGGGCTGGTGGTGGCCTGCACTTTTTAAGTGGGTGGGCGGGGGTACTTACAGTCACACACAGGGCCTACATCGCTGAATCCTTTGGGCTTTTCTTCCACACCTTCCCACCGACCTGGCGTGGTGTCTCGGGGCTGTAAGTGTTTAGTAAGGGGCAAAGAGGATGGAGGCAGGCGTGGCCCGAATGGGCCCGTGGCCCGGCCTCAGCAGTGCAGGTGGGATGGCCGTGGCCTGGAAGAGGGAGGCCGAAGGCCGAGGAGGCAGGGACAGCGCAGAGGACACGGCGGCAGCCGCCAGGGGGGAGGACAGAAAGGTCGGGGCCAGAGGCTTCATCAGATCTTTCTGGAATGCAAGCTTCGCCTAAAGAAGGGACGAGAACCAGGAAACAGGGTGAGGATACTGTTAAAAGCCGCAGAGATTTTCACTTAGTAAAACACTACAGAGACAAGGAACTGAATTTCCAGCATCTTGACCCTGAGAGGTCATGAAAGGATGGCTGCCACTGGGCTCAGAGGCTCTGGGTGTGGCTTGGCTTTCCACTCTTCAGCTCTGTTTTGGTCACTGAAGAGACACCTAGAAGGGTCCTGCTTTGGCAACCAGCTCAGCTCCAAACTCCAACCACGTGGCCTAGAGAGGCATGCAGTCTACTGTGGCCTTGAACTTGTCTCGGCCTCCAGATGAGCCACAGCATGCTGTGGGCTACTGAGAAGTATGACCATTCATTTCACATCTCTTAGACACACTATCCTGAGGTTAGGGAACTGAGGTGGAGAACGTCAGGGACCCATGAGGACTCCAGAACATGAAATCAATTTGCACTTCTTGTACTGTCCTCATGATGAGCGTTCCCTGAAAAAATTATAGCTAAATCAAATTCTGTCCTTGACGGTGACTGTAAGTGGGCTAGAGACCTTCTCTACTTAAAGGAGTCCCGGCGTAGATGTTTCCTGGGAAGAAATCAATCCTAAACGTCTGCCTTTTGCAATCAGAAGAGGCGGTGCTGACTGTATCCCTTAATGCAGGTCTCACCTGCTTGCAGCTTCCGCTGGTGAGTGAGGAGCTAATCTCAGCTCCACCTCAGGCTGAGCACCATGCCAGCCCCAGACACGCCGTGAAGCTGCCCATCTGTGTATTTATATGATATCGGTTGCTGAGGGCCCTCAGGTATTTTTGCAAGAGACTGGGAGCAGGTGAAACAGGCGGATTACCAACAAGAACAGAAAGAGCAATGCGACAGCTCTCACGTGTACATGAACACATAACAGGACACGAGGAGATATTACATTTATGGATTTTTGTCAGACCCACATTCCGGGTCTGAAACTTTCCAGAATTCCCCAGAATTCCCAGAATTCACTTGTTCTTGTGTAGGCCTTTCGTTTTCTTCATATCTTATGGAAGGTCGTCTTTGACAAGGTTTTAGTAAAAGAATAAGACATTAGCTCTTTTAAAAAAGCTTTATTTTCATTTTAATTGTGTGTGTATGTGTCGTTTATATGTGTGTATGCATGTATGTATATGTGTGTGTATGCATGTGGGTGTGTGTGCATACATGTATGAGAGTATATACATGTGTGTATGTGTGTGAGGGGGTGTGCATACGTGTGTGTCTGTGAGTGCAGATGCCTGTGACGTTCAGAAGAAGGTGTCAGATCCCTGGAGCTGCTGTGAGCTGCTTGTTCTGAGGGCTGGGAACCAAGTCGGGCGGAGTGCAAGCCCAGCAAGCCCTTCTAACCCACCTTCTCTCCAGCACCAAGACACTGGCTTTTAAAGAGCGGCGCTCCCCTCCTCCTGCTGTTCTAAGGAAGAGTTCTAAAAGGGGCCTTGTAGCAGGAATTACACACTTCACTCTAACAGTTCTGGACCTGTTCCAGATGGCTCAGCAGGTAAAGCCACCTGCCGCCCACCAGATACATGTGCTTGTGGCTGGGCCTCGCGGCCGGGATTCCATCCCCAGGACCCACATGGTGAAAGGAGAGAGCCAATGCCCCGACATACGCACCATGGACCAGCACCTCTCGGCCACAAATTCACAATCTTTGGCTTAGAGGTAGAATTCTTACTCAGGAGGGGGGAGTTCGGGACTAGACCGCCAGCCCAACCAATTAAATGATTAGTAAATAAAGAAATAAAAATGAATGAATGAATCATTCCAAGACTCTATGACCACCCATCCCTAGGCCCTCCTGCTGGCCACCATCCAACCCCCCACAAGGCTGCCCCACAAACCGGGGGGCAAAGGACACTCACGGCTAAAATGCTCGGGCTCCTGTGGAGCTTGTTGTAGGGGCTGTATTTTGGCTTCAGCGGCTTTCCTGCCACGCGATCTTTATGCCTTCGGCTTGAAATGTGCTGAAAGAAGCACAGCCCATTAGCTGACTCACTGGAAGGATGGTTTCCCACATGGGGGTGGCTGATTCCTCCATTCCTGCCTTCCAAGGATGGTTTGGCTAAAAATCTTTCTGATCCTCTGAGGAGAGGACTTTCTCTCTCTCCACACCAATACCCTTGTCCCTCTAATGTTCTCCACAGCCTTAGCAGATTCCCCTGGGTTTCCAGGGTCTCCATGGCGCCTGACTTCCTTGACTGGACCTGGAGTGTTGAGGAGACACGCTCCCCATGAACTGTGTGCTCTTGGTGGCTTTTGTGTCCCTCTGTCTGTTTTTGGCACCGTGCTGGGGGCCGAGAGGGAGGAAGCTCAGGCTGGGATATTGGGCAGTGACCTCAAATTTACCTTTGGGCACACAGAGAACCATTTATAAGGCGCCTCAGACAGACAGTTGATGGCCTAACCCCATCTAATTTGGACTGCCTTACCTGTTTGAGTTGAATTTCAGAGTTAACATGAACATCGCAGATTTCACAATGAAATGTTTTGTTCTGTAGTCCGGAACCCTTGCTGCCATTCTGCATCTTTAACCTCGACCCCGGTCTCGGGTAGGACTTAATTGGACCAGCTCCATTCCGAGCCTCAACCATGGTCTTGTGTTTAGACCCTGAAATGAAAGGGGTGTGCATTAAGTAGCTATTTGAGAGCTGCGTGTCTCTCTGTGGGTGGAGTGTGCAGACCTGAGACCAATCCCCAGGGCTTCATGATCTTGCTGTGGTGGTGTGTGCTTGTAGTCCCAGCACTTGGAGGGTGAAGTTCAAGGTTATCAGTTACACAGCAAGTCCAAAGCCAGCGTAGGCTACATGAGACCCTACCCAAACAACAAACAAACACACACAGACTATAGGAAGCACTTTATTTTTCTTCCTTCTTTCCTTTCTCCTCTTCCTTCACTCCCCCCTCCTCTCTCCTTCTCCTTTCCCCAACTTTCTCTCCTCCTTCCTTGTTTTCTTTAAGACAGGACCTTACTATGTATCCCAGGCTGGCCTTGAACTCACCTTGCAGCACATCCTAGCCTCAAACTTGTGATTCTCCTGCCTGAGCCTCTTGAGTGCTAGAATTATGGGCATGTGCCACAACATCTAGCCCTTATGTACAGTTTTTTTTTCATTAATTTTAATGCCTGAGTAGAATATTCTATCACATTGGGTTACTATAATGTAGCCAGAATTTCGTTACTGTTTTTCCTTTTTTTTTTTTTTTTTTTTTTGTCTCATAAGTATGTACCAGTCTACCCAAACCTCTGATTGTATCTCCATCACTTCATCAAAATGATTTTTGGTAGGTATCAGATGCTTTTATAATGAAATAAAGAAAAGAACATGTTTTGTCTCCACACTACTTTTGCTTTGCATGACCCATACTTGCCTAAAATCACTCCAGGGAGAGAGAAGAGTGAACAGTGTTGGTGTGTGAACAATAGATGTGGCATTCTGGAGGGAAGGGTTGGGTTTAAGTATCAACATTATTTACACTAGGAAGAGTGCAGCTAACCTGTATTGTGTGCCTCCAGCTGTGACAGCGAGTTCACAGCCACTTTGCAGAGTGAGCAGTAGAGTAGTTTCTTGGCTTTTTCTTCTTCCGACTCAGCAACAGACCCGGGAGCTCCATTTGTGCTCTTGGAAGGAGAAGCGATGGCTCCTGGTGGCAGGGCTGTTGTGCCTGCCTTGAGGAGAAAGGAGCCTCCTTCCGAGGCTGAAGGCTGGCTGGAGCTGGTGGCTTTTGGCTTCCCTTTGTCTTCTAAGGGAGACACAGAGCCATTACTTGAGCCTCCTAAACCATACAAACCAGAATGGCACACTGGAATCTGACCTCCATACCACAAAGGAAAACCAACACAGGTTCTTTTTAAGTTTAATTTCAGCCTGTAGAGCTTGATTAAAACAAAATTCTATCCCACCCCTTCAGCTTCCATATCGGGTCACCCCCAAAATCATGGTGATCTATAAGCATGACTTTGTTCTCCCATGTAGAGTAGATGATTTTTTTTCCAAAATCCCTGAGTTGTAAGCCACACTCTAGGGAAGGCTTTACAATAGCAAAATCGGTTGCTCTTCAGTGTGATGACGAGACAAAATGGCTCCATGAGGGAAGTCATTAGCCCATGCTGGCTTCAGCTGACTACGTATGACTTAGTTACGGCGTGGGTATGAAGTTAAAATTTAGCTTTTATACCAAGTCAAAATTTTACCTTTGGGTGCTTGGGTAGAGGGAAGGGAAGAAACCATGGTTAATTGTGGTTACGACTAGTTAACTTTTCCCTGCTTTTTTGAACGGCAATGCATTCTAACCAAAGTACGGGGGAGTCGAGTTTCCGTTCCTTAGGCTCCTGAATTAATGCCAGTCTAAATAAAAAGTTTTAAATAACCACATCAACCACAGTCACAAAATGAATATTAGTCAAATAATTTAAAGGCATCTTGACATTTTCAGTCATGCAATTACTGAAGGCTTATTATCCTGAAGAGCCCTGGGCAGGCTGTGAGGGGTCAGGGTGACTTGGATGGAATCTAGGGCATTGTTCCGTGGCTCTCTTGGGAAGGCAACCTGAGGTCTAGTAGGCAACAGCAACCCCATCTTATGTTTAATTCTAGCAGAGCTGGCTCTCTGAGGTATGTTCTAGCGGTGTGTTAATTAACTCCCAATAAGAGAGGAAGACTATGTGAAAACATATCTGCTAATTGTCCCAGGCCATTCAGGACTGCATGCCATTAGCTTAGGTGACCATCAGGGTAGTGTGTCTGTGTCTGTATTTATTCACAAAATTCTCCATGTGGCAAACCAAAGCTTGCAGTGCTTAGTATCGTGATTTTAAAAGCTTCATGGATATGGGGATTCACCAGTTTCCATCTTTCCCCTGTGCTGGGTCTGTGTCAGGATTGACATGTGAAGACTGAAAGAGTAAGAGTGCCCTAGAGAGGGCCCCAGATCTGAGGAGCCAAGGTCTGCATCCTTGGGTTCCACATTTTGTATTCCTTTTCAGAAACTATATTCAAACTTAGGATGAGATGAAGTTTAATGAAGAAAGTCTATAACATCTATAAAAGTGACCTGAGTTTGGGGAGGAAGATTGTCCCTTCTAATTGGTAGGACTAAATCAAGATGGAGATTTATTGTTTAGACTGGGGCTCCACCTGCAAGCATCTCTCATTCTGAGTCTTGGAGACCTCATAAGCATCAAAGTGATGCAGTGGTCTCTCCCTCATGCTGTAGGAGGTGCCGGCTCTTGGGATGGAGGAGCCTGGCTGCACAAGTTACCTCCTGCTCCAAGCATTTCATTTGCCGGTTTGTACAACCTTGACCCGAAAGAGCCCGGGCTTGTCACTGCTCCACTCACCACTCTTCCTGGTGGTACTAAGCTGGGAGCCTTATGTTAAGTTGCCATGCCCCTTTACGCTATGTCAAGCGTTGTAGCTTACAAATACTGCTGACGTTATTCTGCTATAACAGACTTGTGGGTAGGTAAGGCTGAAAAATATTTCTTTCTTACTTTTAAGCTGAGAAAACGGAACTTTATAAATGAGTGTGATGTTTCCCACACCTGGTCTTCTGGCAGTACACCGGTATTTTTACCAAGAGGGGAAGTAACTTAATATAGCGTCATTAATATTACTGATGAATTAAAAAAAAAAAAGCCACCCTACATATAAACTAGCCACTGTTTTTTTTTTTTTTTAACAAAAGTTTAGTGTTAGGACTTTTTTAATTTAAAAAAGAATTTCACACATGAGTACATATTATATCATTTCTACCCCTCATTTTTTCTTTAATTATTTAAACACACACACATACAAACACACACACACACACACACAGAGAGAGAGAGAGAGAGAGAGAGAGAGAGAGAGGAGAGGGGGCAGAGAGAAAGATATATATATATATATATGTATATATATAATTTATTTCTTCTTAAGTGAAAATACTGTACACTGTGCTCAATAACCACTTGCTTCAGGTTACAATGAGAAGATATATAAAATATTTTTTCTATGCTTATTTCTTTAAGAAAAAAACCCATATTTCTTTTTTTAATCCCCTTTTTAAAATTGTTAATTTATTCACTAACAAATGTATGTTGACATCATGTTAATTACTGACAGGGTGCTAGACACTGAAGAGAATAGTAAATAAGCCAGGTACAGAGTTAAAGAAAGCCACAGAGGAGCTAGGGGAATGAGAGAGCCATTCAGAGGTTCTAATTTATGGCAGAAAGCAGCGCGAGGCATGGGAGCATAGAGCAGAAATAATTACTTCTGCTTGGGAAGAAAGAAGCATTTTTTATTAAGGAAGTGGCGTTTTGGAGTTTTGAAGGTCAGATTTAGATAAGCGTAGAATGAAGGTGAAAAGAATAGAAAATGGACATCATGAGCAAAACACACAAGGGCATGGGTAGAGGTTAAAACCCTCAGGGTTTCAACATGGCTGCTGAGGACAGGACTGACATCAGATGTTGTGGGAAATACTGCCATAAAGGTCAAGGAGCCCAGAGGCAGAGTCTCTCAGATCATTGAATATATACTGAGGGCAGAAACTCCCCTTTGACAACACGTTGAAATGTAGAGTATACTTAACTTTAATGTGATTTAAGATTTAGATAAATCATTGTTCTCCATGAGGCAGGCTAGGGTCTTAATATGTTGGAACATAAAAAAAAAACTGATATTGGAAATGCACAAATGATTTCAACATATTCAGAGGGATTCTGCTGCTAGACTGATACCTGCTGGTCAATAAAGGAAACTCTACAAGCAGGAAAATCACTGCTGCATTGACATATTTAAACAGTGGCTTTCTTCCAGGATGTGTGAATTTATGAACAGGGCCCAATTTTATTGTTTCCTCTCTCAGTGGCCTGATATCACAATCTACTCTGTTGTTTCCCTTTGCTAAGTGACATTTTTAAAACCCAAGTTTTAAAATGGATTTGAAGGTTTAATTAATGTACTGTTTACTTCTGTTTCCTTTAATAAAGATGCGTGTCATCTGGAACTTGGAGTTAATGTAAATTCCATTTTGAAGTGTTCCCTTGACTAATGTTAATTAGCAGGTCCTCTGACTGTCATAATTATTTTCTGTCTACTCACACCCTTCTTGTAAGGCTTTATGCTGCAGGGCTTTAAAGCTACCGGACTTCTCACCCACTTCCCAAAGCTCGGAACACTTCAAGTCTCCTCACTGGGGACTGCCGTTTACATCCAGCTGATGAACCACACAAGGCAAGTCAGTCATCAATACTTGTCATTCTTATTTTCCACTCCACAAACTTCACACAAATAAGTTCACCTTGTTCAAAGTTAACACTGTATTTCATAAATGGTACCTTGGAGGACAACCGCACCAACACAAAGGGTAGAATTTTCTGGATTCTGTGCTAAGAAATGGATCCTGGTAGATTATATATATATATATATATATATATATATATATATATATATATATATTTTTTTTTAAAAAAAAAAAACAAACTTTACTTACAATGCTTGTCTTACATTTTGTATTAGAACTTTGAAAGCCCTACCATTTTTTTTAAATTATTCCATTTCCAAGGGTTACTCTCGAATTTGATTTTATTACCGTGATAATTTTTTTAACCAGGTTTTAAGGCCTGAATAACATATGTATCCTTATATTAACAAATAGCTGTGTTCACTGTAAAAACTTAGAAAAATTAAAATAAAATAAGGCCAGATGACATTTAAAAATTAAAATCATCCATGATTTCACCACAAGTTGTATGTCACTTGTTTTATACAAACTCTGATGAGGGAGAAACCACGGTCACCTGTGCCTTTACCTTTAGTCTGAGCTGCTTGGCAGTCTCAATAGGCCACACAGTGCACGGATTTTATATTCATACAGCTCTACCTCTGTTATGGCAGATACAGAATGTTCCCTCCATCCCAGAAGATTTGTTGGAGCTCCTAATCAATTAAGAACTTATAGAGATAACCATTATTCTTGCCTCTATCAAAATATATAGTAAGTATTTTTCATATACATGGAAATCACACAATGTGCATTTGTGAGATTACACAGAGAAGTTTTTTTCCCTCACTACTCAGTACCATCCTACAACACGTGGCTGCACGTGTTTACCCTTTGGATACTGATGAACATTCAGATTGTTTTCAGCTTTGCCCATTTTAATTTATTTATTATTATTTTTTTCGAGATAGGGTTTCTCTTTATAGTCTTGGCTGTCCTGAACTCACTTGGTAGACCAGGCTGGCCTTGGACTCACCTGCCTCTGACTCCCGAGTGCTGGGATTAAAGGTGTGCACCACCACGACCTATTTTGTATAATGCTACTATGAGCGTTCTTATCTTCTTCTGTAAACATAAATACTAATTTATAGCTGCTAGATATGCATAGTAGAATCTCTAGGCCACAAGAAACTCACCCCTCCACCTTTAGTAGACTCTGAAAACAGTTTTCCAAAAATAATGGTACCAATTATGCTCTTATCAGGAACATATGAGAACCCCAATCTTCCTGCATTCTCTTTAGGACTAGGTAGGCTAGAGGCAAAGAGGTGAGGGCATGCTGTAAAAGGCTAAAGCCATAGTACTGCTATAGGGCAGCAGGGCTGGGGGGGGGGGGGCTGAAACGGTAAAAAATGAGACCTTGCTAGAACCGGCTAGGGCCACCATGGCTTCCGAGATAGCTGCTCACTCTTCCTGGTTTCTTTATGCTGTTGTCCCTATTTCAGTCAGCATTATGGACTGGCTGTACCCACGAT